TCCAGCTTGGACTTCTTGCCATAATCGACAGAGAGACGTTCCATCAGCAGGGAGGTGAACCCAGAACCAGTTCCCCCACCAAAGCTGTGGAAAACCAAGAAGCCCTGAAGACCTGTGCACTGGTCAGCCTGTAGGGGAAGAAAAAGGAAATAAGGAAATGTAATATTTTAATGCTAATTCAATTGCGTGCATGCACTGGGGACTGAACTCAGAACCTTGTGCAAACTAGGTAAGCACTTTATCACTGAGTTAACATCCCCCAGCCCTTTACCCTCCCCCCCACAAACATTGAGACTACAGAAGCATACCATTGCGCCTGGCCAGATTTTCTACAGAACTATTCATAATTTCTTTAAATCATGACCATATCCAGATAGCATTAAAAAATTGGCTAACAGACACACCACAAATTATTCTACAGCTAGGGACTGACTGGCAAAGAAGTCTAATTAATTAATATAGTAAGCAGCCTATTCCACTTTGCTGGAACCAAAGAACAAAGTCATTAGGTCAGTCCATTCAATTTGCTTTGGAGCCTCTCACCCCATTTAAAATACATATTCATTTAAGGTTTTTACCAGTTTACGAATTCGGTCCAAGACAAGGTCAATGATTTCCTTGCCAATGGTGTAGTGGCCTCGGGCATAGTTATTGGCAGCATCTTCCTTGCCTGTGATGAGCTGCTCAGGGTGGAAGAGCTGACGGTAAGTCCCAGTTCGAACTTCATCTGAAAAAGAAAAGGAAACCAGCACCCTCACTTAATAACCTGCACAAAACTGCTCAACTCTGGTGGGAAGGACAATGGAGAACCCAAGACATACCCAGTCAACTCACCAATGACCGTGGGTTCCAGGTCTACAAACACTGCCCTGGGTACGTGCTTGCCAGCACCCGTCTCACTGAAGAAGGTGTTGAAGGAGTCATCTCCTCCCCCAATGGTCTTGTCACTTGGCATCTGGCCATCAGGTTGGATGCCATGTTCCAGGCAGTAGAGCTCCCAGCAGGCGTTTCCAATCTGGACACCAGCCTGGCCTACGTGTATGGAGATGCACTCACGCTGTGGAAAGGACAGGGGAAGTCATGGAATTTAAAACAAATTCCTTTTTTAATTTTTTTTTTTTTTTAAGTTTTGGTGCTTGGATTGAGTCCAGGATACTTTCTAACTGAGCTACACACTCAGTTTTTTTTAATTTTGAGACAGGGTCTCACCAAGTTCCTGAGGTTGTCTAGAACTTGCAATCCTGCGCCAACCTCCTAAACCGCTGCTATTACAGGTGTGCTACCAAGCCCCCACTACCACAAATTATTTTTTCAGGCACATGCCTGTAATTCTTATCAATTTAGGAAGAGACAAGAGGATCACATGTGATCCAAGCCAGCTAGGCAAATCCAGGCGACCCTGTCTTAGAACAAAAATTAAAGGTCGGGAATGTAGCTTAGTGGAAGAGTATTCTCCGGTATTGCAAAAAATGATTTGAGCTGGGGACACAGCTCAGTGATGAGCCCTGACTGGATTCAATCTCCACCATAAAATAAACAATCCAAAATGTCGTATTTTTTTTCCCCCCGTAGTAGAGAATGATTTTTTCCCCTCCGACCCTTAAATCGAGAAGTGCTATTTTGAGACCTGTAAGAATGCTTAGACAGGTTCCTCTTAACACAGGGCAGTGAGAAATTCATCCACCACCCATTGCTCAGGCCCAGAACCCCACTTCAGTACAGTTGGCCAGATTTCCGGACTGCTCTCAGCACGGGAAGCACATGGCAGGAGTGCAAAGAAAATGTCTGGCCGCAGGGACAAGGGGTGGGGCTCTGCGGCACTAGATGAATGAGCAATTCAGGGAGCGCGCACTGCTGCGCTCAAAGGCGGGGGTGCGCAGCTGCAGATGCCCGCAATACCTGCAGGCACTGGGCTCAGCCCTGCACCTCCCCATCTGTTTCAGAGGCCCCAATGCAGATTTCCATTCTCTCCAAATTCTTCACTGCCACCACCTGCTCCCCACAGGATTTCCTAGTGCAGTGGAGACAGGTTCTCTGAAAGCTGTTAGATGTTAATTGTCTTAATAGGCTGGGGCGTAGTGTTGTACAGTGTTAAGAAAACTCCATGGGTTACAGGGGCTACGCCCTGCAGTCACGGAGCCGCAGAACCTCTGTGCGCATGCGCACATTGCAGTGGTAATTTCCCGCCGCTCTCGGGCGGGAAGGTAACGGTCGCGCCTGCGCTTTGTCTCCAGCTTCTTCCCGCCCCCGCTTTTCGCGCTCCGGAGGAAGTGAGGGCGGGGTGACTGCGCGCACCCGCCTGAGGGGTTTAGGATGGGGGAAGGGCACGCGCGGGAAAGGGTAGGGTCTTGAGACGCCGGGCCCGAGTTTAACGCTACGAGCTCCAGATACCGCGGGGCGGGTGCCTCGCCATTACCCCCAGAGCCCGAGGTGAAATCCCGTAGCCCCCTTTTATCTGGTCCCCAGCCCTTGTCCCCGGATCTCATCTACCCCCGCCTCCGCCTCGCCTTTTGCTCTCCAACGGGATGGCGTTTGTCCCAGCCTTCTCTAGCTAGAAGCCCTTCGCACCTCTCCCGCTCGTTTTCCCCCGGTTTTCCCGAACATCTCAGGGCGCCGCGGCGCGGTCCACTCACCATGGTGGCTACGAATTAGGAAGCAAAGGCAACAGGAGCAGACACCGGGTCCTGGTTACTGTCCCCGACAAGCTAAGAGTCGAGGTAAGTAACGCACTGAAGCGGGGGCGGCGCTGGAGCCTCTTAAGTAGCGGCTAGGGAGGGGCGGGCGGGCACGCGCGGCGCGGCGGCCGCAGCCCCTCCCCCTACACAGGCGTCCACTCGGCGCCGGGCCTGGCCACCGCAGAGGCGGGCTCGGCGCTCGCAGCCCCCTCCCCTCGCGGGGGCCTCTACCGCCACGCTGCGGACCCGCGTGCCAATGCTGCAGACTGCAGTGCGCCGCTTCCTGGCTGGGCAGGGCGGGTGCAGAGACCGCGAGAAACCCACCTGGGGGATGGGAGTCCTGAGAGGTCCAGTCAGTTTTAAAGATGAAATACCCTAAAATGCAGAAATTTCTGGTCCGGATAGCTCAGCTGATTATTTTCATGTTTCCAGTTTGTCAGTGAGTTTTGCCTTTTTCTTACTTCCTTTACTTCCGTCTGTACTTACCTGATAATGTGGAGGATTCAAGCTTTAGAAAACCTGGATGATTTATTTTAATGGCTTGTTCTCGAAACTAAGATACCAAATGCTCGAAACAAATATTTCAGTTATTCAAAGAATAGAACCTGAGCGTGGAAGATTGAGGCTCTTAACATGGCAGTGTAGGCCACACCTTTAGATGCAAGCCACCAACTTTATGCAACCGCTCTAGGGGCTTTTAAAAAAGATTTAAAAATATTTTAAATGGTAGCTGATTCAAAGAGGGGAAATTTATGAAGAGTGAAATTGTTTCACGCAAGGATATAAAGGGATTCCTTGTGCTATTTAGAATTTTCTAAAGAAGATTGCTTGGCATTATGTCACGATGCATAAAATGGGTTATAGTTTACTACAAGGAGGCCCAGATTATAGTGAATAGGCTAGTTCTCTCCCCTGCTCCCGGAGGCGGGGTGGGAGTGGGGGGGGATATATTCCAGGACCATAATCTGCATTACTCAGCCTTGGAAATTCATGGTGTGGTTAGAGTTAAAGGATGGCTTTAAAATTGAAACCTATTGCTGTTATTCAAAATGTCCTCCCCAAGTTAGTCTAAGAATAACAAAAAAGGTAAGCATAAGTCAGTAAAAAATTTGTAGTTCATATTCAGTTATCACCTAATTCAGATTTGGTAAAACCTTCACCCATTGTTTCAAACAAGTAGCTAATATACACTGTCAATATGTGAGTGCATTTTGTAAGGATATATATCTCCATTTCAACCTAGCATGAAAAAGAGGATATTCTTATTTTTTTTTTGACAAATATTTTTTGAAGTCCTATTAACAGGGTTTTGATTCAAAATCCAAATTTGCTTGAATTTCCCAGATTGGTTTGAAGGGACAGATTTATTGTTTTTGCTTATTCTTTTTTCCTCTTAATTACTCTTAAAAAGGAGTCTGAAAATACTTAGCTTGTGTTAACTAGAAAAATGAATTTTAGGGAACCACCCTGTTGAACTCCATTTTGCTCTGCGCTCTGGATGAAAGCCATTTGAAAGCAGACACCTCCCTCTTGGCTCTGCAGAAAATCAGAGCTTTCACTGCAGAGATTTGCTCCCAGGGGCCTATATGTCTCCCCAGATGCCTTCCTAAAATCATTAGCTTTGCTAGTCTTGTTATCTTTATATTCCTCTGTTGTGAATGAGTAAGTTCCTGAGTGTTTTTTTTTTTTTTAAGGTCTCTAATGATACTTCAGGTTTCACAGAATAATGGAATTAAAAGACCTTTAAAAATATAATCTAGTATGGTATCTTTATGCTAGAAAAATATTGAATAGTGATAATTTATTTTGTTTCCTCTAGTACCTGAAAGGACAGATATTCCTTTTTCACCCATACTAAAACCTTCATGGATGGATTTGTTTATATTATATATGTGTATATACATTTTATCTGTATTTAACAAATATAACATGGTTATCTTTGTAACATAAACAAGTACTACCCAAAGGTGAAGCATTTTAATTGATTATATAAGTCTTTCTTTCCTTGGACTCTTTCAGAGCCTGTAAATATCTGCTTTGAGATTTTGCTGCAATGGGAAATCCTTTGTTACAATTTGAGCTGCTCCCATGTTTGCTACATAATATCATGACCATTGGCTACTGTTCTAAGCAATGAGTAACTATTTTTAATAGTACCATATTTTGGTTTTGAAACAGAAATTTACAAAGTATTTTCTTCACTATACCAGTTTTTCAAGGAAAAAAAAAAACAAAAATAACAAGTAACAACTTATCAAAGCATCAACTACAAATACTTAGTCTTTATTTTTATTTATCCCAGTGTTTTAAATTTATATATGCCATTTCATATTCTACTTTTTCCATAGATAAATGATATAGGGGAAATAAAATTGGCTTTGATTGCAGATAGGACTGGATTCAGTTCTAATTTTGTTATAAATGGTTTGTCTTTAGACCCTTAATTGACTTTCTTGAACTTCATTTATGAATGAGAATTACTAACTTAAACCATTTTTTATCATATATTCAATTCTATTAGTCAGTTTTGTTCACTTCATCATCAGAATATATCTGCTGCTTGTTATCAGTCACCCTGTTATTTCACAGTTATCAGAACATCTGAAAATACTTTATTTGTACATTTATTTACTTGTTTAAAGTTTTTCCCTTTATGTAACCACTATCTTTCTTTTTAGTAACTGGATCCTCGTTGTTTTGTGAGTCAGCTTTTTGTTATTGTAATACAATACCTGAGGTAATCAACTTAGAAAAGTTTATTTAGGCACAGTTTTGGAGGTTTCAGTCCATATTATTGTTGCTTTGGGGCCTCTGGCAAGGCAGTACATCATGGTGGGACTGCTTGGCAGAAGCTGCTGCTCATGACAGCCAGAAAGAGAGAGAGGAAGAAAAGGGGTCAGGGTCCTAAAATATCCTTCAAGGACATGTCCCCACTGACCTAAACTTCTCTCTACAGTGCAACTGGTGACCTAAGCTTTCAATGTATGTTCCTTTGGGCAACATTTATGATCCAAATCATAGCAGTTACCCTTACAAAACCCACCTTTTTGCTTTCTTCCTTGGTAAGAGAACCCCCTCCATTTTTTGTGGTGCTAGGGATTGAAGAGAACCCCATTTTTAAAAAAGGGTATTCATGTTTTTAGTCCCAGAGAAGAAACTTGTTTCCCTTTTCCAGATACTTGCTTTCTCAGTCTCCTATACAATTGGACCTAGTTTTGACCAATGGAACATAAAAGGAAGTCAGCTGGAGAGTTGTGGGAATGGTTTTTCTATCTGATGAAAAGAGATTGCTCCCTTGTTGGGTTTTTTTTTTTTTTTTTAATTACCCTTTTGTTTCACTCTTCTTCCTTGCTTTCTTTTTGCCTTTGAAAATGTCCTGTGTTGGGGCTGGGGATGTGGCTCAAGCGGTAG